CGGGCGGGTCTGTGAGTGAGAGCCACTCTGGGAGGGAGAGCAAGGGGCCCTAGGCTTCCTGCCCATCCCTGCGTGCATGGGCCAGGCACTGTGCTGGGCACCGAGAACGAACCGAAGCCCTGACCCAGCTCTCGGAGTTTGTGTTCTAGCTGGGGACACAGACAGGCAAACACACAAATACACAGTGTGCCAGGGTGCTGAGTGCGCCAGGGAAAAGGAAGCAGGGTGGGGGGATACTGTGTTATAGGGGGTCGGAGAAGCCTTTCCCGGGAGGGGGTGTTGGTCAGAGATGTGCGGAGGCGAAGGAGCGAGTCACCCAGAAAGCCGGGAGAGTGCACTGCAGGCACCGGGAACCCCAGACTGCGGCTCCCAGGAAGCGTGTGTGGCAGAACCAGGGACAGCCTCGGGCGGGGGCGGGAGAACACGAGGCTGACAGGGGCCGGCCCAGAGCAGGAGAGCCGCTCCAGCTCCGAGCGACCACGACCACGAGGCGAGGGAGTGGGGGTCGGGAGACCACACCGACGCCACTGCCATCACCCCCGTGTGGGCGCGGCGGAGGTGGCACGGCAGGGCCCGATTCTGGCTCTACCTTAGAGCTGCCAGGATGTGCTGCATGTGGCACGCGAGGGAAAGAAAGGAGACAAGGTGACCCGCGAGGTTTACGCCAGAGCAACTGGAAAAACACCATGGAACAGGGAAAGTGGTAGCAGTGGCGGATCTGGGATAAAAGTGCCCAGCAGCGCTCCAGATGAAGTGGAGGCAGGCAGCGGGATAGCAGGGCCTGGAGGTACCGGCTGGAGTTACAAACGTGGATGTCGTCTGCCTATTTTAATTCAGTAGTCACAAGTGGCACTGAAGCCGTGCGTCCAGCTGAGGTCAACTAGAGAGGGAATGTGGCTCTCGAGAACATGGGCTGAGCCCTCAGGCAGCCAAATCTAACGTTGGGTAGATGTGAAAAAACCTGCCGAGGAGGCCGAGGAGACACCACGGGTAGGAGAGCAGAGTCCCAGAGCCCCAGAGCTGAGCGACGACAGCGTTGCAAGGAGGAAAGTTCGTTAAACGTGTCAGATGTTGCTGACAGATGGCATAGGGTGAGGACTGGGAGTTTGCCACTGGATTTGCCGATCTCGAAGTCGCTGCCAACCTAGACAAGAGCTGCTTGGGTCTATGTGCATCTGTTGTGGCGCCAGCTCCCAAGTCATCAGCTTACACAGCAAAAACTCACTTAAAATAATTCGCGGCACCCTTACGGATAAGCACAGCCAGCCTTCTCTGTAAACATTCCTCTGGAAAAGCCGGTTCTGGGCTTTGGGGCCTGTATTAAGACCTGAAGGCTTGGTGTGTGGCTCACGCCTGTAATCCTAGCACTCTGGGAAGCTCAGGCAGGAGGATTGCTTGAGGCCAGGAGCTCGAAACCAGCCTGAGCAAGAACGAGACCCCCGTCTCTACAAAACATAGAAAAATTAGCCAGGTGTTACACGCCTGTAGTCCCAGCTACTCAGGAAGCTGAGGCAGGAGGATCGCTTGAGCCCAAGAGTTGGAGGTTGTAGTGAGCTATGATGATATCATGACCCAGGGTGACAGAGCAAGACCTTGTCTCTCCCCAAAAAAGACCTAAAGTATAGTGCAGTAGGGGGTAGGGTTGAATCCCAGCTCTGTTTCTTAACTAGCTAGGTAAACTTGGGAAAAGTATTTGACATCTCTGAGCCTCAGCCTCCTCATCTGTAAAATGGAGATAACAACAGTATCTACCTCATAGCCTGTCGTATAGGTTAAATGAGAAAAAGATATATAAAGCATTTAGCATCATGCCTTCTTAAATAATAGCTATTAGTATCAAGTGGGTGTGATATTAGCTTAAAATACTAACAAGGACACATCAGCAATAAGTTTAATTCCATCCTCCTGGCAAAAAAAAAAAAAAAATCCCCGGACCAGTCATTCTGGTTGTCACGTTTAATTATCCTTCTCCTTCCTTTCTCCCTGGCACCACTGAGACCCAGCAGCTCCCCCTCCCTTAGCGGCTCTGTGCTCAGCAAGTTTCAAAGAGTGAATGAGACTGCTGCTATTGGGTTTTGGCCTAAAAGATGAACGCGTTTCTGCAAGTGCAGCACAAAGCGGGGCAGCGCCCACCGTGTCTACCAGGAACCTGGCAGGGGCGGTGGCCCAGCCCCAGGCCCTGCTGTCCAGGGAGGAAGATGCCCGCTGGAAGCCCAGACCACTGCCCGCCAGCCTCCCACTGCGGCCCAGCCCGGCCCTGTGGGACGTCCACCCAGGACCTCGGCTCCTGAACCCGACGTGGCGGATACTCACTCCAACCTGATGGTGCTCTCCGTGGAAGTTTTGTCAAAGAGCCACCGGAAGAAAAAATCCAGACTGAAAAACAAATGAATTCCCTAAGAGTCTATTTCCAGAACACTCTGTGTCATCACTACACAGGTTTTCATTTTACTCCACTCTAAAAATAGGCCGAGTCTCAAGATCCACCTTTGCTCTCCGCGATGCCAGACACCACAGTGTGACTTGTCAGGGCCTGTTTTAACAGAAACCTCCTTCCTTGGCCGGGCGCGGTGGCTGACACCTGTAATCCTAGCACTAGGGAGGCCAAGGCAGGAGGATCGCTCGAGGTCAGGAGTTCGAGACCAGCCTGAGCAAGAGCGAGACCCCGTCTCTACTAAAAATACAAAGAAATTGGCCAAACAACCAAAAATAGAAAAAATTAGCCGGGCATGGTGGCTCATGCCTGTACTCCCAGCTACCTGGGAGGCTGAGGCAGGAGGATCGCTTGAGCCCAGGAGTTTGAGGTTGCTGTGAGCTAGACTGACACCGCGGGACTCTAGCCTGGGCAACAGAGTTAGATTCTGTCTCAAAAAAAAAAGAAACCTCCTTCCTTGAGATAATCAATGCCGTGATTAGACGCTTCCTAAATGGAAGGTCCTCAGTAAGTTTTGTTTTCAAGCTGTTGTTTCTTTGGTTATTTTTTAAAGAAGAACAATCACATTTCCAGAAGAACCAATGGACCAGCACAACTGCACTGCAAGTGGGTGCAACAGGCTTAGACATTATTAGAGATTTGCATCCAAACTCTGGAGATGTGACCCTGATTTGAGCAGGAGGTGGTGTGTACCTGGTGAGGCCCAGAGAGGGCAGGATCAGCACCATGAAGATCAAGAATATGTAGACCTTGGTCATCATGATCCGGTTTTCCCCTGACCTGCAGGAAGTCAGAGGTGAGCACTCACCACCCCGCAAAAGCTCCAGTGAGGCCCCTACTAGGTGCCCATTGCCCTGGCCAGGGGGTCAGAGACATCCTTTTCGGGGCAGGGCCTCAGGGCTCCTGGAAACTCACTTGGTCCAGTGGGACTCCAGCAGCGTGGAGTAGTAGACGATGGATGGGAGCAGGGCTGAGAAGGACCACAGCAGGAGGGTTGGGAAGAACTGGCTGATGATCGGGTCCTAGGAGACAAGGTCCACAGGCAGGGAGAGTTGGAGGGGCACGGGCCACACGGCTCTGAAGCCGTGACCTATTGGCACGGTGGCTCAGTGGAATCCTGGACTAGGGTTTGGTCATCCTTGATCCCCAGAACCAACACTGTGTCAGGCCCAGAGGAGGCGGCCCATAAATGTTGGCTGAAAAACAATAACGGCGCCTTACACTTGTACAGCTCTTTACAGCGAAGAAAGCAACTGCACGCACAACCGAACTCCACTTATCTGACTGGCCACGGTTAGATAACCTTCTCCATTCCCTGGAGGTTGCTGATGACTGGAGCTCTCCGGGCCAACCGCCCACGCACTCCCCGCTGGTCTGGCTGTAGCTTACCAGGCCTCCAATGTGTTTGTTCCCAACCCTGAGGATGCTGGTTGTACCTGTTACATGATCTGAATTACTTTCACTGATTAAATGAACATAAAAATAGAGACATTTTCTTTGAAAACTAAGTTGGACACTTCCGAAAGACTTCA